CGACCTGTAGGACATTTGTTTCTAGAGAGAAAAACAACAACAAAAAAAAAAAAAAAAACAGATAAAATGATTGAAAAGAAAATGCATTAGATGTATGAGATGTCAAGTAAATGGTTATGTGACATTCTGTTGACTCTTGATCTCTTGATATGAGTTACTATCATAGTCTTCCGTTTTTTATACCAAAACTTTCATCTTTTAAAATAACACCAGGCGGGGCAACGCTCGACTTCTTTTTCTTTTTAACGAGCAAACAAATAAAAGGTTTTAACAAATCTTTGAAAAATAAATTACATTAAAGAAAGAAAATTTCTTATGTTTTTTATTTTAATAGATCTGTCTCGTCGCTATTGTTGTTTTGTCCAAGTATAAAATCCTTTCGATAAATAAATGACAAAGTTAAGAAAACAAAAGAGCTAAAATGACCAGCACTCGCTCGCATTAAAATTGTTCTTAGAAGATATTTATTCATTAAATGGTCATTATCGTTTTTCCCAAAAATAAATTAATTTTTTGCAATTATATTAGAATGTTATTATATAAAATAATTTATTAAATTCTGATCTTCTTTATATTTTATATGTGATATGTTTAAACTAACCTGTAATCGGTTTGGAAATTCTCGGGTGAATGCATAGCAGAAATTCGAGAAAATCATCGTAATTTTTCCCTGTCAATGAAACGAGGTTTTCCTTTTTCTCCTGCCAGTCATGATCAAACATTGCCTTGAAAACAGGCGAAGCGTATCGTAGAAAGTTTTTCGAAACATAAAGTTTGTTGCTGTTATCAAACACCAACGTAATCTCATTATCAAATTCTCCACTTTCTGTAAATGCTTCAGTCATATCGAATATGTTTTTAATGCTATTTTCTAATCCCTCGTCACCGCTCATTTTTAATAGTTTTAATTACTTCCGTTTTCAATTCAATTTTAACAGAAAGATACTGTTTATGAAAAACACATAAAAGGTATAAATTCAAATTTTATAAAGAAATTGAATTTTGTTCAAATCATCTGAAAAATTACTTCCGGTTTCAAATTGAACACCCCAGTATAATATCAAAGATTGACGGAAAGGACGAATAGTTGCGATTGAAAAAATCTATTTATATAATTATCACTACAAATGCACTCAAGGTTGAATCCATGTTTGTTATAATAGGATATGAGTAAAATACCTGACTTGAAATTGATAGGTTAAAAGTTTAAAAATGCTGTCGTTATGTGACAAAGTTAAACAATCGTTATGGATTTATATTCGACTGCAAAATGGTGTAAAGGACTTTATGTCGAAAGCTTTTTAGTTGAAACTTCCTTACTGATAGATAGTATATTTGTTTTTTAATAATAGTTCATAATATAGTTATATGCTGGTAATAAAGTTTGAATTGTATTCACTCATTGCTTTCTTAGAATTTTAAAAGCAGTTTTATAAACACTATTCTGTTACATTTTTTATATGAATACATGCATTATGATGATAAAGGTGTCTTTCAAAATAACAGTTACCGCCTCCGTGGTCGAGGGGTTACAGTCGATGACTTCTTATCCAGTAACCTTTCTGGCGTGGGTTCGATCCCCGGGACATGCTTTGGTAGTTTGACACAGAGAAAGGTAGTCTAGTACTGATGTAACTCTCCAGTAACGATGATTAGGAAACTACTCGCCTATATGACTGAAATACTGTTGGGAAAAGGCCTAAAATGAAACAAAGAAACAAACAAACAAATTAACAGAAACAGTCACTTCTAACGACTATTTCACCTCATTTTTAAATTCTCTGTGAAAGGTATTTATACTTCATTATTGTCTTCTAGGCTTGATTTGTAAACGACACTCATTATGAAATGTCAGTTGTGCACTTGTATTTACAAATCGTATAGGAAAGCATATTCTGGGATTCAGGCGTTGATAATTTTTGCTTATTCATGATAATACGCGCTGTTTCATACTCAATCGTTTTTTGATAATATTAACTAATGTCGATAATATTAACTTCTGCCGAACAGAAGTACACAAAAATCGAGGCTAAGGAAAGCATTTTTATGGCCAATTCTATATTCCTTGATAACATGGTGAAGATCTGTGTCCTGGCGTTTAATAAGAATTTCCACTCTGTTGAAAATAGAATGACATTTCAACACCAGAACGTTTGATATAAATATAAGATCTCATGTTTATATTTAAACATCGGATCAAATCGATTTTGAAATCAATGCACTTAAATATAAACTTTATGTTTTGAAGATACTACTGGAGTATTCTACGTATATTGACTAAAAATGCGAAAGCCTTTGATCTACAAATAAGCGCTAAGTCGCGATTTAGAAAACTGAATTTTGTTAAATAGATATCAACGATTATTACGTGCCATGAAAGGCATAATAGCAAGTAAAAGTTTAACATCTTTTTTCACAAGTGGTTAAGGTTGTTCACTTCAAACAACTTTAAAAGTTGCCCCTCAACTAAGTGGGTTCAAATCTCGTCAATGTCTTTCTTTTCTGGAAGCTATCCAGCTAGTTTATAAAACGTTGGTGGAACGACTAGTTCGTGCCGGAAATATTAGGCGTACGGAGCACTCGAGGTCTTCCTCCTCCAATTAAGCTGGAAAGTCGCCATGTGACCTTTACTGTGTTTGAGCGACGTAAAACCTAACAGGAAATGATATTAAGTTCATTCATAATATGCTTGTTGACAATATATGTTAAGAATTGTAAATCTTTATTTCATTTTTGTAACTGAAACGCACGATCTTTGCTATATTTCTTGCAGGAACGATTTGTGATGAAATGTTTAGTGGTTTAAAGCGTTACGTTGTTTTCCGTTAGGTGACGTCCAGATAGATAACGATTGATAATTTGCAATATGAAATAACCAAATCCTATAGCACTGTTGTCATTAAAAACAATCTAAGGAAAAGGCAAGTATTACTTCGAGATAAAGTAAATGGAGATCTTGATTATTTTATCTTTCAAATGCTTATGACTTCGTTTCATTAAGGTTTATATTTTACTCAAGTTCATTTAGTGTAGGAAGAATTAGTATCGAGTGGAATTGTCACAAACACCAACATTAGGATTGACGGACACATATGCAATTCTTGTTACAACCTTGCCTTGCTATAAAGCGAACTGAAAGGAAAGATTGGTAGTCTCGCGGCAAGAAACAAACTGGATAGAGCAGATCCAGAACGATTTTTAGCAGCATTTATTTCGGTAGGGTTCATTGATAGTAGACGCTCGATGAGGTTTTCTATTTATTCATGCACGAGAGGAACATATTAAAAAAAAGAATTTACAAGACAAACAACAAGGAGCAATATTTTACAACAGAAAATTCATAAATTACATATTTCACAATTACAATGATGCTTTGAATGCAATGTGTGAAGCAATCAGTTATTACGAAATGTTAAAGCTATCCCAGAACCAAATCAGGTAAAAAAACTTTCGTGCAAAATCAATCATCTTTGCCTTTCAGAATGGAGAATTAAATACAGATGATAACAAAATAATAAATATAAAGGATATAGAGATTGAAATACTTTCTTCAAGTACAAAGCTCGGAATAGTGCGTAGGCTTCTGCGGGGTAAACAGTGTTCGGAATATTTCTCTTACGAAAAAAACCGTAGCTCTATTGTATTGCCAGGAAAGAGTCAAGAAAAAAGAAAAAGAAATCTTTATCAAGACACAAATCGAATACCATTCGGGCTGAATGGCAATTTCTAGCATTTTTGAAATTCCAATAGTTGTATTTTAAACTAAAATTTGTCGGATAACCATGTTATATGTTCCGGAAATATTTCGGTCCATTCTGTTATGTGAACGGAATATGCATCGTGGATAACCGTCGGTTGTACTGAACTTATTAATGTCAATGATTAGTTAGCGAAACGTTTATCTATTGTTTAAGTGATGATACAACTAAAAAAAATGTAATTATAAATGGGTAAAATAAAAAAAGTATATTGAACTACTTCTATATCTAACTGAGTGACAATTGAAATAAATGTCTAAAATTATTCTGACGATATTGTTAATATGGTTGAATCACATATGTTCGATTCCTACAGCAAAAGTACAGACGTCTATTTTTACAATGGCTTTCGCTTTACTCTCAATACAATAGCCTCACGCCTTTCTTTCTGTCAGCTTTAATAAAACATTGCAAATAACACATTATGATAAAAGAAGTCTTGTTTCAAAATAATCTTCACTTTTCATATTATGGTAACATAATGCAAACATATGAAAAAAAACATATACATGTACTTTACTTTTCAAAATAATGAACGACAATGCATGCACATTTATTTATATATTTATTCTTTAATTATCTATCACAAATGTGAAATTTGAAAATTATCTTAGCCAGTGTCAAATACCAGTATTTTATTTATGTCATTCACATTTAGTATTTTAGGTTAGTTTCATCATTTAAATGAAGCAATCGTTCAGCTACTATTTTGTATTTAATTTCGAAAGGAAGGTTTTGAAACATTTTCATACAGTCCATTTTTATATCACCAAAAGTTTCATCTCCCGTTTTATCGGAAGGAGAAGGTTGGTTCTTAATGTGCATTTTTTGTGATTCTTTTTGTCCTGTATTATAAAGAATGTGTCCGAACTTTGCTATAGATTTTACTGCAAACTTCACTAAATCATTATAGCTTAATTCATGTACTTTTGCCACTATTCGAAGACAGGGTCTGAGGTATTCTGCGTGGTAGAGATAATGATTACCCTTTGCTCTCGCCTGATCAAATGACGCCTGTAACCAACTTATCATATATTCTTTGCACTTTTTTATGACTGATGTTACTTGATATTCGTCAGCAATGCTCACGATCCGTAGGACGTTTGTTTCTAGAAAAAAAAATTGTACCCAAAGTATAGACTATCTTTAAAAAAATGGAACCACCGCCAGGCGGGGGCAACGCTCGACTTTATCTTTTTTAAGAGCAAACAAATAAACGGTTTAAAGAAATCTTCAAAAAGTAAATTAAAGAAAATAAATAACATTTTTGCCTTTTTTATTGTTATAGGTTTGTCTCGTCGCAGTTGCTGTTTTGTCCAAGTATGAATCCTTTCGATAAATAAATGACAAAGTTAAGACAACAAAAGAGCTAAAAATGACCAGCACTCGCTCGCATTTAAAAATTGTTCTTAGAATATATTTATTTATTAAATTGTCCTTATCGTTTTTTCCAAAAATAGTAAACTAACTTTTTGCAATAGTATTATTTAATAATCTATCAAATTCTGATCTTCCTTACATTTTACATGTGATATGTTTGAACTAACCTGTAATCGGTTTTAAAATCCTCGGGTGAATACAAAGCAAAAATTCGAGAAAATCGTCGTAATTTTTCCCTGGCAATGACACGCTGTTTTCCTTTTTCTCCTTGCAGTCATGATCAAACATTGCCTTGAAAACAGGTGAGGCGTATCTCAGAAAGTTTTTTTAAACATAAAGTTTGTTGCTGTTATCAAACACTAACGTAATCTCATCATCACATTCTCCACTTTCTGTAAATGCTTCAGGCATATCGGTTATGTAACTACAGCTTGATTCTGGTTCCTTACTTTTTGTGAATGCTTCAGACATATCGGTGATGTTGATAGTTCTAATACTTGATTTCTCTTTTTCCATGACTTTTTCATATCTGCCAAATTCCTCGTCACTGCTCATTCTTAATATTTCAATAAAGTCCCCTTGTCTATCTCAGTTGAATGAATATTATTGATGAATAATAAAACAATTTATGAATGCAAAATTCAAAGAGAAATTGAAAAAAAAACTTATCTGAAAATACTTTCGATTTCAAATATTTTTGGCTTTTCCAATCGTTCATTTTTCCAAACATTTACTCGGAACAACACGCAGACTATCATTAATAATATAAAAAAAATGTTTTAAAATGCCGAAAAGTTGTGATTGAAAAATATTTATTTATCAGTACAAATGTATTCATTCAATTTAAAGTTTATAGATTGTATTGATTTGTAACGGATATGTCTTGAAATTGATAGGTTCAAAACTTAAAAAGAATAATGCCAAGGCGTAATATGATCAAGTATAATATGTAAAACAATCGTTATTGTTTTATATCCCACTAAAATGGGTAGAAAATGACTATTTTTTAAATGGTTTGATAGCTTTTTAGTTTATTCAGCCTTGTAAAAAGTAATGTTTTTGTTTTTAGGTAGTAGTTCAGAATGTAGATATGTTGTTTAAAAAAGTTAAAATTGTATTCACTCATTGCTTTCATAGAATTTTAAAACAATTTTATAAACACTATGCTGTAATATTTCTGATAGGAATGCATGCATATTGATGGTATAGGTTCTATTTTAAACGAAAAAAATGCTTGACAGAAATATTACACAATTATTTAATATCAAAATAGCAACGCTCGTCGATACATTGTAATACAATGCACTCATTAAATGAATCAATGTATAGTCTGATTTTATTGACCTGTCAATTTTGAGTACATTATAGCACTCATTTAAATATTCACACCAGCTTAATGCATTGGCCATGTCAAATCCGCGATAGCACAGACGGTAGAGTGATTGTCTAATATATAAGGGGTGTGTAGTTCGATCCCTACTTTTGCCGTTGTTATAAGGCCTACTCTTTTTCTTTATTTTTGCAGCATATTTTCATGAAAATGGCCGGGTGCTTCCAATATTGTCTACACATATATGAATCAACAAAGAAATATTCTCAATTTGTATAGTGTTTAACGCCATTGAAACGACATTTTCTAATTTTGATCCGAATTCATTATGAATTTTAATTCTGAAAGCATGTTATTTAAAAGGAGTTTAATTGCTAAACATATTTAATCAACACGAACAACATAACAAGCAATTATAGCTTCGATAATGTTGAAATATTTATAAGAAGAAAAAAACAACATTGGAGGTACGCGGTCTCGATCTCACAACACGTAGGACACTTAGAAATCATTAACCTGTAACTTACCCTATACCACTATACCGCTCAGTATAATTGCTCCATAGGCACAAATTATATTTAATCAAATCTCACGGAGTACATCTCACGGAAATTACCGAAAATCTTTCGAAGATTAATATATTGTGTGCATTGACCGTGTAATTAGTATTAAATTGACAGGTTAATAAAACCAAACATTAACTACGTATGATACCACTCTTAAACACAGACTTTCAAAATAACAGAAAACAAACAGATAAATAAATAAATTAATAAAACTCTTCTACTCTTACTCTTCTTTACATGCTTTAACGGCATTGTCGGAATATACACTACATGTATATTTAATATTAACCGATACTTGTACTGTGCCGCTATGATAATGTGAGAGTGACGTTGCATTTTTTTTTGTGTACACAAAAGTTTACAATCTTTATCGGAATAGGTAAAACAGTTTATTTAGAAGCGAATAAAGTACAAGATAAAAAACTAAATGTCAACTTAATTTTACTCACGAGTTCGAGCCTCACAAGTTGTCTAACTTTGTCTTTTTTTTCACTATTTTTTCCCGATATTTCTAAAGATGCAAACGAATTGTAAAATACAGGTAGTTTTGTTATAATATTTTATAATTTAAATATACTTTATCCTGTGTAGTGAGTAGTATGCAGTAGTCGTTGTACTTGTGCAGTGCACGAGTATTTCGTGCCACTTGAACTTTAGTTTTAACAATTTGTGTACATGTATTCATTCTGTTTCTTATTCAGTATAAGGTTGTACCAACTTGCTAGATATCATTTTTGAAAAAAAGTGAAAAGGGAAGATAATAGAAATTAAAACAACACTTAACACTTTCTTACGTCAAGAAAAAATCAAGTTTACTCGTATTTGATTGTTTATTGCTATTTGTGTTTACTTTTTTTTTGTCAATAGGCCAAGATTTTATCAATTAATCGCTTCGATTTACAGCAAAAAATAAATTCGGATTCATGAACTCCTTCCGATTTCTATTATATTGGTTTCCCCTTCGGTGATTCGCAACATGTCATATTAATGGATGAGAACCGGAAAGCAGTTCTGCTGTACATGAATTCGAAAGCTATAAATAGCTATGTAGTAGGGCAGGTTGTTTCCCTTTCTTTGTATATAAATAAATGTTCTGGTTTTTGACACTTAAGTTATAAATTTGTTATTTCCCTTTTTTAGTAGTACATGAAATTATAATTTGTTACATTTTGAATTACATTTACACACATCATATCAAGTATACTATTAGTGATTGAATTTGTCAATATAAAGAAGATTTCAGGTATAAGACTTTAATAATTTTACTTTTGATAATTATTCTTAATTTATATTTACGAAACTAAATGTTTAAAATAACATGTTGATATATTGGGTTGTATAACTTTAGTATATAAGGCATCATTGGTAGCAAAGGTTACAAAGACACGTTGCCGCCCCTTCTCCTATCTAACTTTATTAGGTGTTCTTTTATTAAAAGTAAATATATTTCTCATTGAAAGTTCTTTGATTTAAATTTGGTAATTATTACAAATAAAAGGAAGAATTTATTGTTTGTCAGATAATTCATAGTTTGATAAATTGAAGTTTGTACATTTAAATAAAGAAAATTGTCATATATAATTCTGTATTAAACAAATTAGAACTGGAAACTTGGAGTTTTTGTTATTTCCTACAGTAAAGGTTCAGTATTATAGAGACGAAGTAAGTCCAACTTCAGGCTCTATATAAAGCAGTAGCAGAAAAAGGGAGAGAAACTTGCGAAGCCAGGTTGTGAAAGTTTTGCAACCTGTCGCCTCGAAAAGTTGCCCTCTCCTACTACAGCTAGATGACATTAACATTGTGAAAGTCGGACAATCTATTTATAGAAGTAGTTTTGGTCTAAACGAAATGGTCATTCGTGTCGCATTATGGTAATAAGTAACAAACTTTTCGAAAACATTTAAGTAGGCCATTTTTTAGAAATATTATATTATAGTGTTATCATTTTGAAATTGTCTTTTCCGTAGGTGCTTTCCGGTACATAGCACTTTTCTTTTTTACCGCCCTGATTGCTGATTGCACTTATGACATCTTTTTGAAATTCATCGCATTTTTTCATTCCAGAGTGTGTTCTATTTTCAGTATTGAAAGAAACCATTTTTTAATTTTACATAAAAAAGCATGTAATATTACTATATTATAATATAAGTCCCTTTTGTTACTATTTGTATATTTGATTCAGAGATAATAATAAAAAAACAGATTTTGATATTTTTATCATCTAATGTTACTGACTACAGTAGTGACACAAACAGAACACAGTACAGCCATGTCACATTTACAAGTCGTGTAAGTCTTGTTTGTATTCAATGGAAACACTTTCCTTACCAGGTAGGCATCAGTGAAAGTATTATTTTAAATTAAATATCTAGCCTCTCTTTTTAAATATGGACAGTGCATAAGATAAGTATAATTATGCAAAAAATGGTTTACAAAACATTCGGAAAAACATATCTACAATAGTACTTAATCAGAATATAACATGACCTGTGCGTAGGAATAATTTGGTAAGATATCTGCAATAAGCACATTTTTTGTTTTGCGCGAAGCTTCTCAATTGCTGCATTGCAGCAACATTTGTACTTGTATACAGAAATTATTTCGCGAAAAAAGTACATTCCGAACCAGTCTGCATTGATTGCACCGCAGAGCTATTTGTGTTTACTATTTTTTTTGTCCATGGGCCTGGATTTGATCATTTAATTCATTCGATTTACAGCTAAAACTAAATCCGCATCCAAGAACTCCTTTCGATTTCTATATTGTTTTCCCCTTCGGTGATTCGCAACATGTCATATTAATGAATCAGAACAGGTAAGCAGTTCTGCTGTACATGAATTCGAAAGCTATAAATAGCTACATAGGTTATACATTTGTTATTTCCCTTTTTTAGTAGTACATCATATTATGATTTGTTACATTTTGAATTAATTTACACAAAGCATATCAAGTATACTATTAATGATTGAATTTGTCAATATAAAGAAGATTTCATGTATAAAACTTTAATAATTTTGCTTTTGATATTATATTAATAAACACTGTATCACCTTGTAACGCGTGTATAACAAACAAAAAATTCCTGAATTTGGTCCTTTTGAAATTCATCCCATTTTTTTCATTCCAGAGTGTGTTCTACTTTCAGTATTGAAAGAAACCATTTTTTTTTAATTTGACATGAAAAAACTGCCTGTAATATTAGTATATATTAATATTAGTCCCTTTTGTTACTATTTGTATATTTGTTACAATTATAATAATAAAAAACAGCAGACTTTGATATTTTTATCATATTATGTTACTGACTACAGTAATGACACAAACAGAACATAGTACAGTCATGTCACATTTACAAGTCTTGTAAGTCTTGTTTGTATTCAATGGAATTACTTTTCTTACCAGGTAGGCATCAGTGAAAGCATTCTTTTATTTAAAATATCTTTCCCCTCTTTTTAATTATGGACAGTGCATAAGATAAGTCTAATTATGCAAAAAATGGTTTACAAAACATTCGGGAAAAATCTACAATAGTACTTAATCTGAATATAACATGACCTGTGCGTAGGAATAATTTGGTAAGGTATATGTAATGAGCGAATTTTTTGCGCGGAGCTTCTCAATTGCTGCATTGCAGCAACATTTGTACTTGTATTTATCTAGAAGATTAGATTAATTGGCAACCTTACCTACTGCGTTACGCTGACAGTTGATTTATTTGTCGATATTCAAATTTATATCGCAAGCATGCGCGCCTTATGATAATAAACACAATATAATAACTGTTTTACACCGCAGTAGTGGACATGACTGCCGCATCAATAAATAATTATCCTAAACGTACAGTAAGTGACGTTTACATTACAGCCGTGGTTCTAATAACGTGACTTGTAACTGTCATCTATTTATAGAACGATACTTGTACTTGTGTTTATTTTCGTAAATGACTACAAATAGATGCTGCTATAAAATGTTTTTTTTGAAATGTTTTATTAATACATTGTTTAAAATACAATATATCCTATGAACATATTTTGAACATCGTTCAACAATTTTGGAAAATGATTGACTAATCGAACTAGACCAATTACAATATGCATGAATAAGGATTTACACAGTGTGCCGGTAATACTCATTTATGAACACTTGGAAATGACGTTTTCGACGAACTGATGTACTAGTACAAACAAACAATTATGTTGACGTATTAGTCATTCGACCGATGTTAGCTGGGAAAAGGCCTATTATCTCAACCTCGGATGGCTCGAACTACCGTTTTCTTGTTCTCCTCCGCTCGTAACATCAATTATTGCGGATATGATTATTTTGTTGTAATATTCTACTCAGGTGCACCTTTGTGCTTTAAGTAATGGACGGAGGTGCACCAAAGTTCTACTTCCACCAGGAAAGCTGAAACGTCGCGGTATTAACTATTTTGTGCTGGTGCGACGTAAATCCCAACAAAACAGTGACTTATGATAAGTCAATACAATTTGGTCTAACATGTGAAATAAACAAAGGAAAAGAAGTAAGTATAAGCAAGTAATTAAAGCACACATATCGCAACAGTTGCCCCCCTTAAACTTGATCTAAGTCTTCAGATATAAAAGTAATAGGTTGGTCTGTGACAAAGTAATATTACAAATGTTTTACTTTTTTTCCTAGTGTCTCACATAAAACATTTTTCAATATTAATAATATTTTTAAAGTATATAAAAAATATTAACATTTATTTGATAAAGGTAAACAGACTACATTTAGAGTAACCACTTTTCCAAATTTAAAGCTGTTATATCAGAATATCAATCATTAAATCAAAATGTATGGGCAACACGAAAAGTACGTCAAGCAGAATGATAAAAACAGCATTTTCTTTTTAAAGGCACCGGACACTTGAATATTTCTTGCATTTAATTCCTCTCTGTCACTCGAACATTTACAATTTTGCCTTATCGATGCATGAAGGTCCTGCAACTGAAAACATTCAAATGCGCAATAAATCAAATCAGTTTAAAAGACCGAGATATCCAAACCGAATTTTTTAACACTATAAGGGCGATTTTTGAGTAACACTATGACACAGTTGATTTTTTTAGGCACATTTCTGATGTATTATATTATCTTAGACATCCCGTGATGTGAAAAATATGACATTCTATTAGGACATTGTCACTTTACCGGTTTATCTTCTGCAGGTCCTTTACACATCGCTTCTACTTAGCTGATATTTCCTTCTTTTAGGGATACATGAGAAATTATAAAAAAAACATAACTGGAGATCCTGACTATTTTACCTTTACAATGCGTTTAGACTTTGTTTCAGGAAGATTTATATTTGACTCAATTCATTGAGTGTAAGAAGTATCGAGTAGAGTGGTCACAAATACGGATATTAGGACAGACGGACACATATACAATTCTTGTTCCAATCTTGCCTTACTACATAGCGAGGTCAAAAGAAAAGAATAGTTGTCCCAGGACACAAACAAGCTTGATGAAGCAGATCCAGAACGATGTTTTTTTTAGGAGCATTAATTTCGGCTTAGCCAACGTAGTTAATGTAGTGGTAGAGCTCATTGACAGTGGACACCCAAGGAGGTTGTGTTTTTATTCAGGTACTAGAAAACCTAATTATACAAAAAAGTGATTACAAGACGTATAACAAAGATAAATATCTTACAATAGAACATTCATAAATTATTACATATTTCACAATTACAATGATGTTTTAAATACAATGTCAAGAAAAGTTAAAGCTATCCCAGAACCAAATCAGATAAAAATAACTTTTGTGCAAAATCGATCATCTAAGCCAGCCATTCAGAAAGGAGAATTAAATACCAGATGATAACTAAATGGACGACAAAACTAAAAAGGAGCGCCTACGGGGCACGCCATCCGCCATGTTTTCTGCCGGGTTACATATAGATTAAAATACTATCTTCAAATACAAAGATCGGAACCACTGAGTAGGCTTCTGCGGACTAAGCAGTATTCGAAAAACTTCTCTTGAGAAAAGAAACATTAGTTCATGAAGGAGTCTGAGAAAAGAGAAAAAGAACAAGAAGTATCTTTGAAAAATATACTCGGCCGAAGTAGAACTGATTAACGCCCCTCGTAAAAATCAGATAGCCTCGTGTTTACATGCGCTTTCTATTACTTGCACTGACATATAGATTTTAATGATAAGTAAGCTAAACGTTTTCTATTGTTTCAGTGACGATACAACTCAAAAATAGAATAAATTAAAATGGGTTACATGAGAATTTGTACTACTTCTATATTTAACTGAGTGAACATTACTTAAATTAATATATCCTGAAGATATCGTTTAGCTTGTTTGAATCACTTCTGTTCAATTCCAACTTCCAGTACAGCCGTCATTCTATTCTTTCATTTTATTCTCAAAACAAAAGCCTCCAGACTATTTTTTGTCAGCTGAAAAAAAACATGTCAAATGACACTTTATAATAAAAGAAGTTTAGTTTTAAAAAAATCTTCGCTTGTTCATATTATGCAAACATAAGAAAGAACTAAATTATGAACGACAATGCATGCACATTTATTTTATATTTATTCGTTGACTATTTATTTGTCAATAATGTCAGCTTTGACACTTATTCTAGCCAGTGTCAAATATCAGTGTTTTATTTTTTGTCATTTACATTTAGTATTTAAGGCTAGTTTCATCTTTTAAATGAAGCAATCGTTCAGCTACTATTTTGTACTTAATTTCGAAAGAAAGCTTTTGAAACATTTTCATACAGTCCATTTTTATATCACCAAAAGTTTCATCTCCTGTTTTATCGGAAGGAAAAATTTCATCCACATCGTACATTCTTTGTAAGTCTTTTTGTCCCTCATTATAAAGAATATGTCCAAACTTCGCTTAATTTTTACTGCAAACTTCACTACATCATTAAAGGTTAATTCATGTGCTTTTGCTACTATACTGAGACAGGGTCTGAGATATACTGCTTGGTAGAGATAATGATTATCTTTTGCTCTCGCCTGATCGAATGACGCTTGTAACCATCTCATCATATATTCTTTGCATTTATTTATGACTGACGTCACTTGATATTCGTCAGCAATGCTCACGATCTGTAAGACGTTTGTTTCTACAAAAAATATATCCAACAAAGTATAGACTATCTTTAAAAAAACAGAAATCAACGCCAGGCGGGCAACACTCGACTTCTTTTATTTTTTAAGAGCAAACAGATAAACGGTTTTAACAACTCTTTAAAAAGTAAAATAAAGAAAGAAACATTTTTTTCCCTTTTTTTATTGTAATATGTCTGTCTCGTCGCAGTTGCTGTTTTGTCCAAGTATGAATCCTTTCGATAAATAAATGACAAAGTTAAGAAAACAAAAGAACTAATAACGACCAGCACTCGCTCGCCTATAAAATTGTACTTAGAAGATATTTACCTTATCGTTTTACCCCAAAACGTTTTGTTATAGTATTAGGTACTCATTATATTTCATAATTTATCAAATTCTGGTCTTCCTTACATTTTAAATGTGATCTGTTTGAACTAACCTGTAATCGGTTTTGAAATTCTCGGGTGAATGCAAAGCAAAAATTCGAGGAAATCGTCGAAATTTTTCCCTGTCAGTGATACGCAGTTTTCCTTCTTCTCCTGCCAGTTATGATCAAACATTGCCTTGAAAACAGGCGAGGCGTATCGTAGAAAGTTTTTCGAAACATAAAGTTTGTTGCTGTTATCAAACACTAACGTAATCTCATCATCACATTCTCCACTTTCTGTAAATGCTTCAGGCATATCGGTTATGTAACTAAAGCTTGATTCTGGTTCCTAACTGTTTGTGAGTGCTTCAGACATTCCGGTGATGTTTGAACATCTAAAACTTAATCCCTCATATTCTGTGCTTTCCTCATATCTGTCAAACTACTCGTCACTGCTCATTCTTATAATGTCAATAATGTTCCCTTGTCTATCTCAGTTGAATGAATGTTATTGATGAATAATAAAACAATTTATGAATGCGAAATTCAAAGAGAAACTGAAAAAAACTTATCTGAAAATACTGTCGATTTCAGAATTGTTAGTTTTTCCAATAGTTCATTTTTACAAAACATTTCACTCGGAACACCACACAGATTATCAATAGTAATATCCAAAATTGTTTTAAAGTGCCGAAAAGTTGCGATTGAAAAATATCTATTTATCAGTACAAATGCATTCATTCAATCTGAAAAGTTTATAGATATATATTGATTTGTAACTGATATGCCTTGAAATTGATAGGTCCAATATTTAAAAATCATAATGCCAAGACGTAATATGATCAAGTATAATTATGTTAAACAATCGTCCAACTTAAATGGGGAGAAAATGACTTTATTTTTTTAAAAAGTTTGAGAGCTTTTTAGCTGAAATTTCCTTTTTGATTCAACCTTTTAAAAAAATAGTATATATGCTTTTAGGTAATAAGTTCAAAATATAGATATGTTTTTTGAAAAAAGTTAAAATTGTATTCACTCACTGCTTTCATAGAATTTTAAAAGCAATTTTGTAAACGCTATTCTATTACATTTTTTTGCTATGAATACATATATAATGATGATAATTTTTATGTTTCAAAAGGGATATTTCACAATATTTCATTAGAAGCATACCAACAAGTTTAAATGTACATCCCTTTTTCAGAATTGAAGAAAGTGACATACGCTGTTCAGATCATGAGGTATGGTAGATTGCTTAAAGTTGCTCATTTCAAAAAACTAAAAAAACTTGCCCCTTCCCTTTTTGGGTTCAAATATTGCAAAGGACTTTATATTCTTCTTGTAAAGAAGCTATCCAGTTAGGAAATGGACTGTCAGAACACTCATGACTTGTGACCTTATGTGTCGGAAATAATGCAGAGAGGGAAAATGAGGTCTACCTCTGCCAGTCAAGCAGACAGGTCTTGTTATAAATAGTTCTTAAGAAATGTAAATATTTCGTTCATTTTATTAACTCAAGTAACCTTATCATTGTTGTTTTCTTGCTGTTATCGTGTACATTTAACTTACGAAGAAGCAATTTCTTAAGAAATGTTAAGTCGTTTAAAGCTTGATCTACGTTGCTTACAGATAAATTATAATAATGATAATTTAACTATGATATTACAAGAAATGTCGACTTTCCAAACATTAACGAGAAATCAAGTATTACTTAAACTTAATTTTAAAAATAAAAACATATTTTCCCCTACCAGTGTTTTAAATCATGTATCTAAACGCATCATGACATATTATTTAGTAATCTTAAGCTGTTAATAATTAGTGTAAATACACTTTGCTCTAAGACTAAAAACAATCAAAGACAAAAGGCGACAGTATAAGAAAGTCACTATAATGCACTTATCACAACATTGTCCCCTGACACGATGTGCATGAAATGATCGTAGAACAGAAACAAGAATTTCACGTGCGTCAGATATTAAGTTAAGAGAGTTAAACACTCACCTTTAGATAAAGTTATAAAAGGTTGGTTTGTCTACTCAGTAGTGACAAATTAGTAATACAAATGCTTTACATCTATGAACGGTGTCTCAAAAAAATGAATGTTTCAATATTATGATATGTTTATACATTTATAAAATATTTACATTTACTTGCACTAAAGATAAACGATATACATTTAGTTACCATTTCTAAAAATTCAAAGCTTACTTCACGGAATATATATACTTTAGCAAAATGAAAGGGCAATGCAAAAGGTACGTCGAGCAGAATGAATTAATTAACCATTTTCTAGACACTTGGAAAAGTCTTGCATTGAATTAGTATGTATCGCTCGAATATTTACAATTCGTGACAATTTGGTCTAATAAAGGGTCGATAAATACAATAAATAATCGATAAAGGGTCATGTAAATACAATAGACTTTATCCGGAATTAAGAACACTTTTTTATTTTCAAAGCTATTTCGTTGACGTTTTTTCCTGTAAACAAAGTATACTTGATGCGAAACGTTGTATATTTTTCAAATAAAATAATTACATTTTTAAATTGAAACTGGAGTTGATTTCTATATTCAAACTTACATGAAAGATATTTCGGGGCACTTTTACAGCTACATCATAACCCTGGTCATATTTCAAGCTAAGTTTAAATCGGAATACTGATCATAAAATATAATATAATTAATCAATCATTTTTATAGCAATAAACTACTACAAATATCAAAACCAAAGCAATTTATTCGATTTTTAAGTTTAGGTTTTAAAGTTTTATGTTTAATCATATCGTTTTGTTTTTATTATTTCTAAACAAAAAGAAAGATATAATGCCACATTTGAACATAAGGCAAAACATTAACAATTATATCTACAACATTTAAATTGATGTTGTACTTGTTCATAAAAGTAAAACAAAAGGGTTCGTGTTTTAACATTAGCATTTGAAATTTATTTGTCAATATTTAACCGAGCGAAAATTACGTTAATTGAAATAAATATCCATTGTTATTATGACGATATCTTAAGTATGCTTGAATCATATATGCTCAATTCCAACTTGAAACACAAGTCTGTTCTTACAGTGGTTTTCAATTATTCAGGGAACACCTGCCTTTTTTTGTCAGCTTTAAAAATTAGCATACATTTAGACTTTACTGTTTAAAAAACAGTGAACGACAATACATGTACATTTATTTATAATGATAATTTATCTATCAAGCAAAATGACTGCAAGAAAACAAATTATCCTAACTAGTGTTTTTTCTGTCATTCACATTAAGTATTTAAGGCAGCTTTTACCATCGTACCGTAGTAAACGTTCAGCTAATATTTTATATTTAATTTCGAAAGAAAGATTTTTAAACATATTCATACAGTCCTTCATTATATCACTTAAAGATTCATCGCCTTCTTTGTAAAACGGATTAGGCTCGCCGAAATAGGCAGAACCATCTTGTGCTGATGGATCTGTGTTTCCTTCATTATAAAGAATGTGTCCAAACTTTGCTATGCTTTTAACGGCATACTTTACAACGGCATCATAGCCTAATTCATGTGCTTTTGCTACTATACGAAGGCAAGGTCTAAGCCATACTGCTTGGTGGAGATAATGACATCCGTTTGGGTTTGGTTGTTTGATGGGATTCTCCAACAAAACCATCATAACTTCCTTGCATTTGTTTATGATTGATGTTACCTGATATTCGTCTGCAATTTTCACGAGCCGTAGGACGTTCTTTTCTAGATAAATATGACGAAAACAATCAAATCAAGTATGTCAAATGGAAAGTAATGTGACAGTTTATTGTCATATGTTACAAAAAATTGTTCAATTCTTCAAGTTGTGAGTACCCAATCTCTACACTGCCCTCTAAAATATAAAGAGTGGCATTCGACAACATTAAGAAATAAGGTACACAGTATATAAACGAATTGTACCCCAACCGGATCTTGTGAGAAGATTTCAACATCAGTTCCTTACAAACAGGCGGGATGACTCATAAAACATTTAAAGACGGCTTGCATTCATTCTGTGAAGTTTTGTAAACATTTGAATCATATTAAGAAAGAGTTTATCTTTGCTTATATATGCATCCATAACCTGCTTTGTTAAATATATGCGCATAAAACGCTGTGCTTTCGCTTTTTGTCAACACACGCCGGTTACACAAGCAAATTTATGCCTACACAAGCAAATTTATGCCTTAAATTGTTTTACCTCACTTTAACTCATATCTGAATCTTAACTTTATTGTCTTTACCTCATGTTACCGGACAGACACTTGTATACATATATTTGAATCTTGATAAAACTTAGTAAATAATAGAGGCGAACTTTCTGATACCTTTACTGTACCAGTCTTGCTAAAACAATTTTAATTTGTTTTTTCACTGAACCATAACTTGCGAGCTATTGTTGATGATTTTTACTGTTTTTGTCCTATGTCCCATATTTTATCGTGCAGAATATGAAGCTATTGTGCCACAAGAGCATGAAAACATCAGTGGCCAATACTGCACAAGAATGGAGCTTCATCATGTTTTCACTGTCTATGGAAACGATGTAGAAATAAAGTGATAAATACTACAAAATCAGTCCTTAATCGCATATGACACGTAAATTATTCGTAAAATCACAAATCTTTTTACTTTTCTTAAAATTAAGTACATTTTGATTACCAGATAATTTTCTTGAAATATTTTGGCTTATCTGGAGGCATGTAAAATAAATCTTTTTAAGGAGTTTCCTGCATATTGTTGTTAAATGTCTAAAAGGTAGTTTACACTCTTACAAGTTTATTTCCACTTATTTTCAAATAATTTAAATTCTTGCCAGTGTATACATAAGGTAACTTGTTAGTTTTCTTTTCACACAGCTTAAACAGTTTATCATTGGCTATAGTTATCTTAAGACAAAAGATACATATAAATACAGTTCCTTTCTATAAATTGCCATATACATGTATTTCAGATTGATTTGGATGAATCATTTGAAGTAAGGGTCTTGACAGTAGCTTAGTGTAACAAACACCCAAAGCACGCCCATGAAAACACAAAATGAATGTTGGATCTGTGGGATAAGTGGTGACACCAAGTTTAATCATGATAAATGTTTTCTCCAATGTTATCCCGACAGGGACTTTGGATTCTTTCATGTGAGTAAGCTATTCAGCTAGCTTACGGAACGCCGGTGGTTCTACTCAGGTGCCTGTTCGTGCCTGAAAAAATGCACGGAAGGGCACCTGAGGTCTTCCTCCACCAGTAAAGCTGGAACGTCGCCAAATGACCTATACTGTGTCGGTGTGACGTTAAACCCAAACCGAACAAACAAACAGCAATATTTGTTGCAGATGAATAATTTTCATTTGTTATTGATAACTTATTGATATCACAACCAGATGTTTAACTAAATAAACCATGAAATATGACGGATTTTTGTTCCTGTTTAGTACTGACCACCTGAAAGTTATTCGTAAGTTTTGATTATTTAATAGCCTAAATGCTAATATTTATATTTTGCATAACTGAGACGTTTAATAAAGTTTCTCTTCTACGATATAAATATAGACATACTGCCCTAACGTCCATGAGTATCAACATAAATACCAATATATTAAACAAGTTAAGCGGCAGACAATGGCTGACACTGATTTCTTCTCACAAGATCCGGCTGGGGTTCAAATCGTTTATATACTGTGAGGTATGTAAGCTATCTAGAAATGCTATATGAAGTATTTATTCATTAAACTATCAGTATCTTTTACCCAAAAAACAAAGCTTACTTTTTGCCGTAGTATTAGATAGTCATAATATTTTATAATTTAGCAAATACTAAACTTCTTTAAAAAGTTCATTTGATCTTTTTAAACTAACCTGTTATTGGTTTTAAAATCCTAGGGTGTACACAAAGCAAAAATTCGAGGAAATCGTCGTATTTTTTCCCTGGCAATGATACCCTGTTCTCCTTCGTCTCCTGCCAGTCATGATCAAACATTACCTTGAAAACAGGCGAGGCGTATCGTAGAAAGTTTTTAGAAGCATAAAGTTTGTTGCTGTTATCAAACACCAACGTAATCTCATCATCACATTCCCCACTTTCTGTAAATGTGCTGGACATGTTAGTTTCCCAAATTTTTGTGAATGCGTCAGACCTATCGGTTATGTTTTTTACTGAAAAGACTCTTTTGGCTCATACCAACCATTTTGATTAAATTATTTTGTTAATATTTGTTAATAACAAATAATATATAAATGCAAATTCCAATGAGAAATTTGAAAATTTTTCAAATTATTTGTAAACTACTTTCGGTTTCAAAATCTTTAGTTTTTCCAAATGTTCAATTTCGAAAAATCTTATTCGGAACACTTTGACGATTATCAATAATCATTATCCAAAAATAACAGGAAAAGAATTTATAAAATCTATATATACCATTATCTGCTTTTTATACACACCGGTTTATCAAATAGACAGGAAAACCGGTTTACATGAACAACTTGACAAGTTTATGGATATGCATTGATTTGTAACGGATATGTTGTATTTGATAGATTCAATATCTAAATATGCTGAATCGTAATGTACAGACGCAATGTGATAAAGTAAAATTATGTTAAACCATCGCTATGGTTTTATATCTGGCTATGATAGGCAGAAAATGAGTTTATGTTTTTAAGGGTTGGATAGCGTGTTAGCTGACCACCTTTAAGACCTAGTATATTTGTTTTTAGGTAATTGTTCAGAATACGTTTGTGTAAATGATAAAGTTTGAATCACTAATTGCTTTCTTATAAATTTAAAAGCAATTTTGTAAACATTTTTCTGTTATATTTGCGAAAGGAATGCATGCATACTGATGATATAGGTTTTATTTTAAACGGAAAAAATGTTTGATAGAAATATTACACAATTATTTGATATCAAAGTATCTATTTACATAGCAACGCTCGTCGATACATTCTTATACAATGCACTCATAAGATCACACCGTATTACCGGCGGCAGTGATGGCAGATCACTGCAGTGATGGCAGATAGCTAAAAGTTACCGCTCGGTACAGGTAGGTTATAAATTTGGTTGGTATTATTATATTACTCAAATGCGGCCCATTTCATTGTTTTGAATCTATTGTCCTTGACTGGGGGTACTATTAGGTAATTTTGGACTCGTTTTTCCTGTTTTTAGACTATTTTGAGCAGGATAAAAGTGACAGCTTCGGAAAAATCCATGAAAATGTCTGTTTTTTGTTCAAAATATCTCAAGTTTTAACTAAATGGCAGGATTTTGTGTTATTAATATAGACGTTTCGTCATTGAGGTCACGCAAGCCAAATATCTACCCCGTGAGTCTTTTCTTGAAAGTTTTACAGACGTTCAATCTGGTCCGGTCGAAGAAAAAATGCTGCCGTTGTAGGCAGATGCTTATTTCAAATGCTGCCGTCGATGGCAGAAATACCATGAAAGTGGCTAACATTCTGACAGAAAATCAAGGTCAATCTTTTATCAATTTCTCTATTCTTTGCGTCCTTTTAGTCGGAATTGAGACGTTAAACTATCATTTCTAATATTTTCTCAAGAAAGAAAAGTTATTTATGCGGTATGTGCATCGAAAAAGCTTTTTAGCAACACGCAGATACAATACAAAATGTGATGATTCAGTACGACCAAATTGCACTATAAATAGAGCAATTCAGATGAAGAAAATCAGTTTTCTATATTCATGCATGTGTGCTTGATCTGTTGTGTCTGTCAGTTACATGCATACAATACCATATGTATCTTAAGTTTTGCAGCGCATAATTGATTGCCTTTTCAAGACAAAACGCCATTTGCATATCACAATTTAACTGTAACTTCAGTAAGTGGATATTCATTTGCTACAAAATATTTATGTTTTGAATCGATGAAATTGAGAAAAGTAATTATTGAAGTATTCTACGCAACAAATAAGCACTAAGTCTCGATTGAGAAAACAGAATTTTGTTTAAGAATTATGTTTTCATATGACTCATAACATTAAAATAAAATTGAAAACATCTCTTTTTAGAAGACAAGTGGAAAAAGTAATATGCGCTGTTCATATCATGGGATATGACAGAGTGGTTAAAGAAGTTGTTCACTTCAAACAACTTAAAAACTTGCCCCTCACCTATGTGGGTTCAAATCTCGCCAAGGTCTTTGAACTATTTCTTGTGAGGAAGCTAACCAACTAATTTATAGAAGGCTGGAGAAAAGACTCAGGTGCCCTTTTGTACCGGAAATAATGGACATTAAATGAAATCTTAGGTATGCCTACAACACTATGTATGGCATTCATAATAAGTTTAAGTGTAACATTTACAAGTATTTTTAATACATAATTGTCCTAACATTATCATCGGAGTTATAAATATAAGATAGTCTTTAAAATACTATGATCAGGTTATAAATAGAAACATGTCTCTACCCTTTCTCAGTATTAACTTTTTTATTTTGCTCGATTCAGTGTGCCAAAGTTTTTGTAAGCGTGACATGACACTCATCATAAATCCATTATTTCCAATTGGAATATGCACTTGGTATATAAATATTTTGTTGTAATAGTCTAGTGCCCGTTTGTTCCTTAAATAATGCACTGATGTTCATCCGAGGTCTTCCTCCAGCACTAAAGCTGGAAAGTCGCCATTCGACCTTTAATGTGTTGGTGCTACGTAAAACTGAACAAAACAATGTCTTATGATAAGTCAAAACAATTTGATCTAACACGTAAAATAAACAAAGACAAAAGGGTAAGTATATGCAAGTCAATAAAATGCACAAATCACACCAGTTGCCCCCTTGCAAAATTCTGCATAACATAGGCAATGATTTCGCATATCTTTAGAGATATAAATATGACAAAATAATATTTCAAATGTTTTTTTTATTTGCACAATATCCATGATACAATGATACATTTTTTTTCAATATTAATAATATATTTGACATATATAAATTGTTTAGATTTACTTAATAAAATACGAAATTTATTTAACAATTTTATTAATTCAAAGCTAATATCACGGAATATAAATTATTTAGCGGAATGTTAGGGCAACACAATGCGTACGTTCGTCAAGCAGAATGATTTAAACATCCATTTTCTATTTTAATGGCATAGGACACTCGAAAACAAGTAGGCGAGATACACAATCTAATAAATGTTCCTCTACTGATAAAATGTGGTATGTGGAGTGAAAAGAAGTATACCACGGAACACTAGAATGTCTTTTAAGGTATATATCCGTTTTTAAATAACTGCAACATACAAAATCGATATATGATAAAAGAGTAGAATTATATCACTTTATCAAAACAATGCTTAAAAGGGGACAGGTGCTTAAAACAAAATTAGAGAGAGGGAATCTGTGACAAGAAAAAATAATAGCAAAGAGGTAACCCATGCCGCTAAGAAACAGAAAAATAATGTGTTTATGAATAAAAAATGCAAAGAGTGTGCCCATATGAACATGCACCGTTCTGTAAAACAAAGGTCAATGGAAACCTTCCGACTAGTGCATGAGAATAAAAGGATATAAAAAGTGAAAGATAGTCGGTCTGACATAATTATGATTTTCAAGTGAAAAATATTACATTTTGTTAGGATATTACCATTTTACCGGTTCACCTGCTGCAGACCCTCTATACAGCTATTGTACGTGTTTAAATTTTATTTGTGTCGTCAGACCAAACAAATAATGGTAGCGAAATATCAGACCCTGATATGCTTAATTACAAAATTTGCAAGTAGTCCGTCACGAACTCATCGAAGCGGTGAAATCCCTTTATAAGTACATTAATGCCAAAAATTAAGGGGAGATCACTGCGTAAAGATTGTCAAATGACAGGCGCATTAAATTTCAAACCTTTTAAGAGAAGAAAAAATTGTTCCCTTTTATTCGAAGATTTCTAATATTGTGTAATTCTTTTACATTTCCGCAAATTACCGGTAATATATTCATTTTTTTTATTTTTCAGATGAATATTATTTTAATCAGTGAAAATTGTTCGACTTTTTTTGAAAGCTTCGGATTATTATGATCGCCTAAATGAACATTTGTTATTTAGACTTTCTACGTTTTGCTAAATCATTTCACAGATATACGTGCTTATAATAAGCTCCATGATAATTAAAATTAGTGTAACACAAAAGGTTTACCGTGAACAAAATATCTTGAAATAAATAAGGATTACAAACTCTAATTTATAATATTGTGGTTTTGTTCAGGCTGTTTCTTATATCTAAACCCATGGTCCAGGGGTTACACACTCGTTTTGAAAGCAAGAGGTCTGTGGTTCAAATCCCAGTTACGGCCAATCATGTTGTGTTTGTGTGTGTTTTTTTTTCTTTAAATTGTTTAAGCCAAATAAACATTGAATTGAATATCAGTGTTGCAATAAGCCTTAAAGTTAATTTACTACAGTTATAACCCAGGAAACAGCATTTCTGACACTATCAAAAACAAATACATTAACCTTTCTGACATTCTTTGACCCAAACAAATTCAGCGCCTTCTGTGCTTTGATTTAGGGGTACATGATATAATGTAAGTGAAGTAAATTGAGATCTTGATTATTTCTATCTTACAAATGCTCATGAGTTCGTTTCATGAATTTTTATATTTTACTCAAATTAATAAAATGTAGGAGGTATCGAGTGGAATGGTCACAAACACCAACATTCGGATAGACGGACACATATGCAATTCTTGTTACAACCTTGCCTTGCTATAAAGCGAGGTTGAAAGGTAAAATGTGTAGTCTCGGGGCAAAACAAGCTAGATAGAGCAGATACAGAACGATTTTTAGGCACATTTATTCCGGTTTAGCCGACAGAGTTAATGTAGTGGTAGGGTTCATTTATAGTAGACGCTCGATGAGGTTATCTATTTATTCAGGCACAAGAGGAAAATGTAAAAAGAATTTACAAGACAAATAACAAAGAGAAATATTTTGCAACAGAAAATTCATAAATAAAATATTTCACAATGACAATGATGCTTTGAATGCAATGAGAAAAGTGGTCAGTTATCACGAAATATTAAAGCCATCCCAGAACCAAATCAGGTACAAATAACTTTCGTGCAAAATAAATCATCTAAGCCATTCATAATGGAAAATTAAATACCAGATGATAACAAAATGGACGACAAAACTAAAAAAGGAGCGCCTACGCGCACAATATCCGGGGTGTTTTTGTCGGGTTACATTATAATAAGATTGAAATACTAAGCTCGGAAACAGTATGTATGCTTCTGTGAGCTAAGTAGCATACGGAATATTTCTCTTAAGAAAAGAAACATTAGTTCTATTGTATTGTTCAAGAAGGAGTCTCAGAAAAAAGAAATAGAAATCTAAATCAACACACATTCAATACCATTCTGGCTGAATGGCAAGTTCTAGCATTTTTTTGAAATTCTAATAGTTGTACAAGTTTCAATCTTTGAATGTAAGACGAAAATTTGTCGGATAACCATGTTAAATGTTCCGTAAATACTACAGTACATTCTGTAGTGTGAACAGAATAATTATCGTGGATAACCGTCGGTTGTACTGAACTTATTAATGTCAATGATTAGATAGCTAAACGTTTCAGCAGTGATGATACAACTCAAAAACAAAAAGTAATTATAAATGGGTAAAATAAAAATATATATTGAACTACTTCTATATTTAGCTGAGTGAAAATTATTCAATTGAAATAAATGTCTAAACATTTTTTTGACAATATTGTTAGTATGGTTGAATCACATCTGTTCGCTTCCAACTGCAAAAGTACAGACGTCTATTCTAAAAATGGCTTTCGCTTTACTCTCAAAACAATAGCCTCTCGCCTTTCTTCTGTCAGCTTTAATAAAGCATTGCAAAAGACACTTTTTAATAAAAGAATTCTTGTTTCAAAAGAATCTTCACTTTTTCATATTATGGTAACATAATGCAAACATACGAAAAAAAAGACTTAAATTTTCAAAATAATGAACGACAATGCATGCACATTTATTTATATATTTATTCTTTAATTATCTATCACAAATGTAAATTATCTTAGCCTGTGTCAAATATCTGTTTGTTATTTTTGTCATTCACATTTAGTACTTTAGGCTAGTTTCATCATTTAAATGAAGCAATCGTTCAGCTACTATTTTGTACTTAATTTCGAAAGAAAGGTTTTGAAACATTTTCATGCAGTCCATTTTTATATCACCAAATGTTTCATCTCCTGTTTTATCGGAAACAGAAGGTTCGTTTCCATAGCGCGTTCTTGGTGATTCTTTTTGTCCATTATTATAAAGAATGTGCCCAAACTTTGCTATAATTTTTACTGCAAACTCAACTACATCATTATAGCTTAGTTCATGTGCTTTTGCTACTATCCGAAGACATTGTCTGAGATATTCAGTTTGGTAAAGATAATGATATCCCTTTCCTCTCGCCTGATCTAATGAAGCCTGTAACCAAGTCATCATAGTTTCTTTGCATTTTTTTATGACTGACGTTACTTGATATTCTTCAGCAATGCCCATGATCCGTAGGACGTTCGTTTCTAGAAACAACAAGAAAAAAGCTCTAGATTATATGATGAAAACAGACGCATAAGATGTATCTGTGATATTCCGTTGGCAAATGATATGAATGATTGTCATATGCTTTCATTTTTATACCCAAGCTTTCAAGTACCTTTCAAAATAAAATGATCAGCTCTCGTTCGCATTTATATTTGTTCTTAGGTGAAATTTATTCTTTGAATTGTTCTTATCGTAATAAATTAACTTCTTGCTGTAGTATTAGTCATTATTCTTGATAATTTATCAAATACTGATCTTCCTTACATTTTAAATGTAAAATGTTTGAACTAACCTTTAACCGGCTTGGAAATCCTCGGGTGAATGCAAAGCAGAAATTCTAGAAAATCGTCGTAATTTTCCCTGTCAATGATACGCTGTTTTCCTTCTTTTCCTTGCAGTCATGATCAAACATTGCCTTGAAAACTGGCGAGGCGTATCGTAGAAAGTTTTTCGAAACAAAAAGTTTGTTGTTGTTATCAAACACCAACGTAATCTCATCATCACATTCTCCGCTTTCTGTAAATGCTTCAGGCATATCGATTTTGTTTATACTGCTATTTTCTAATTCCTTGACTTGACTTGACTCTAATTTCTTGTCACTGCTCATTCTTAATTGTTTTTAATTACTTCCGTTTGAATTTAAGTTTAATAGAACGTAAATGTTGATGAACAATAGATGATTAAAGTGTAAATTCATGTTTTAAAACAGAAATTTGAAAGTTTTTTCAAATTATCTGAAAAACTACTTTCGGTTTTAAAAATCTCAATCGGAATACCTTAGCATAATATCAAGGATCGAAAAGTTGCGTTTGAAAAAAGTCTATTTATATCCTTATCAGTGTTAACTCGTACCACTTGACAAGGTAATAAAATAGTTTTTAATGTATTAATATGTAACATTTCTGACTTGATGGGTTCAATACATGTATCGTAACAAAAATGCTGAATGTACATACGTAATGTGATAAAGTATAACGGAATGTTGTTTTTGATCCGAAAAAAGGTTTATTATTTTAAAAGTTTGGAGAGCTTGTAAGCTGAAACTTCCTTATTGATTCAGCCCTAAAGAGAAAATATATTTGATTTTTATGTAAATATTCACTTAAAGAAGAGTGATATGTTGATTCTATCAATGCAATTACCAAACAAATATCTGGTTACGATTTTGATAAGAATATGCACAATTTATTATAAACATTATAATTGTATTGATTTAAATCACATGTATACATATCTTTTTTATTGTTTTCATAATAAGTAATTCTACATGTATTTCTAATAACTAATTGACTAAACGTTCTCATCGTAGTAATAAATATAAAAAAGAGCTGTAGAAACGTGTATTTTATATATATATTGTTTAGGTTATTAATAGAAATGAGACTTTACACTGTCTTAATACTATTTTTTATTTTGCTCGATTCAGGGTGCCAATGGTTTTGATAACGCGACATGACACTTGTTTTTCTACGCTCTTAATATCCAAAATTGCCAATTGGAATTTGAACCCGGTATATAATTATACTGTTGTAACAATACTCACGTGTCCGTTTATGACTTAAGTAATTGACGGAGGTGCACCCAATGTCTTTCTGGAAAACCGCCATATGAACTATATTGTGTTGGTGTGACGTGAAACCCAACCAACAACAAAAATACTGACAATACAATTTGATCTAGCATGTAAAATAGATAAAGACAAAGGGGCTGTATAATAAAGTTACTATAATTCACTGGTCACGACAATTGTCTCACTTGTAGAAATATGTTAAAGTTTGATCTTAGTAGAGAAATCTGTAACAGGGGCAGGAATTTCGCATATCTTCAGGTATAAAACATGAATACAGTTATGTTGAATACAGTTGATCTATGACGTGTTTTACGTTTACATAATACTTTTTTCAATATTAATTATATGTTTAAAATATGAAAACAAATGTATATACATTAATATGATAAAGGTAAACAGAATACATTCAGAGTAACAACTTTTATCAATTCAAAGCTTTTGAAACGGAATATCAATCACGTACTTTTTGTGTTGCAAAACGTAAGGGCAAAGAGATACATGAGAAATTAAAATGCCTTTGATTGAAATCTTGACTATTTTACCTTCAAAATGCGATTAGACATGGTTTCGGTTAGTTTTATATTAGACTTAAGTTCATCGAGTGTAGGAGGTATCGTGTAATGGACAGAAACATGGACCTTAGAACAGAACCTCTACATTATACAATTCTTGTTTCACCCTTGCCTTACTACATATCGAAGTTGAAGGGAAAGATTGGTAGTCCCAACGCTCAAATGTGCTGGATAGGGTTGTTCAAGAACGATTGGAAACAGATTATTTCGGTTTTGCCGACAAAGTTAATGTAGTGGTGGGTTTTTTTACAATAGACACTCTATGAGGTTGACTATTTATTCAGGTACTAGAAGAATCTATAACAAATTAAATGATTGTAAGACATTTACCAGAGAGAACTATTTTACAATAGAAATTTCATTAATTACATATTTCACAATTAAAAAAATACTATACATGTAAAAACATTATAAACATTTCACATTTCAAATTAAAGTAAATGTATACATACAACGTTTAATGTAGAAAATCACTTAAAGCTTTATCAGTTATAATATGAATCTATCAGCCTAAATACTATTAATTAATTAATTAATTTTGAATGATTAACATAATTAATTAATTAATGTTTTTTATTTTAATTTATTTCATCATTTCTATTGTATGGCGACTGTCAAGTTATCTTAGGCAGCGTCAACATAATTGTGTTCATTTACATTAATTATTTAACACTGCCTTCATCATTCAAAAGAAGCAATCGTTCCGCAAATATTTTGCATTTAATTTCGAAGGAAAGGTTTTGAAACATATTCATACAGTCCATCTTTATATTACCAAGGGTTTCATCTCCTGATTTATCGGAATGATTAGGGCCTAATACAATAAGAATTTTTTCTTGTTGTCCCTTATTATAAAGAATGTGCCCAAACTTTGCTATAGTTTTTACTGCAAACTTCACTACATCATTATAGCTAAGTTCATGTGCTTTCGCTATTATAGGTAGACAGGGTCTGAGATAAACAGCTTGGTAAAGACAATGACCTCCTTTTCCTTACGCCTGATCAAATGAAGCCTGTAACCAAGTCATCATCAATTCTTTGCATTTCTTTGTAATTGAAGTCACATGGTATTCGTCAGCAATGGTCACGACCTGTAGGACATTTGTTTCTAACAACAACAAAAATCCCAGATAATATGATGAAAACAGACGCATAAAATGTGTGAGATGTTATGTAAATGGTTCTGTGATATTCCGTTGACAAATGATATGAATGATTGTCATATTCTTCCATTGTTATACACACTTTCAACTATCTTTCAAAATGAAAATGACCAGCTCTCGCTCGCATTTAGAATTGTTCTTCATTAAATTGTCCTTATCGATTTCCCCAAAAATAGTCAACTAACTTTTTGCAATAGTATTAGGTACTCATTATATTCAATAATCTATCAAATTCTGATCTTCCTTACATTTTACATGTGATATGTTTGAACTAACCTGTAATCGGTTTAAAATTCCTCGGGTGAATACAAAGCAGAAATTCGAGAAAATCGTCGTAATTTTTCCCTGTCAATGATACGCTGTTTTCCTTCTTCTCCTTGCAGTCATGATCAAACATTGTCTTGAAAACAGGCGAGGCGTATCGTAGAAAGTTTTTAGAAACATACAGTTTGTTGCTGTTATCAAACACTAACATAATCTCATCCTCACATTGTCCTCTTTCTATAAATGCATCAGACATATTAATTATGTTTTTACTGCTATTTTTCTATTTCCTCGTCACTGCTCATTTTTTATATTTTCAATTACTTCCGTTTCAATCTAAGTTGAATAGAACGTAAATGTTGATGAACAATAGATAATAAAAGCATAAATTCTAGTTTTAAAAGAGAAATTCATTTGTTTTTCAATCTATCTGAAAAACTACTTTAAACTCAACAGAAAAACCTCAGCATTAATATCAAGGATTGACGGAACGAAAAGTTGCGTTTGAAAAAATCTATTGATATCATTATCAGTGTACAAGGTTATAAATATGTTTATGTGCGGCTTTAACTTGATGATTCAATATATGTATCTAAAAATACTGATTATTTGAAAAGGTAACCTTAAATGTCCATATTGATTCAGCCTGTAAGCAACGGTGTATTTGTTTTAAGGTAAATATACACTTGAAGAAAAAATTTATGTTGATTTTACCAATGCAATCACGAGAAACAAATTGAGATAAGTGATAAGTGAATTATTCTATGTATATTGATTAAGAATACGAAAACTTTTTATTAACAAATAAACGCTAAGTCGCGATAGAGAAAACAGAATATTGTTTAAATGGATATCAACAAATATTACGTTTTCTTGAATGTATAACGGCAAGTTAAAATTTAACATCTCTTTTTTAGAAGTGGTAAAGGTGATTTGCGATGTTCATGGCATAGTGGTTAAGGTAATTCACTTCAAATAATTTAATAACTTGCCCCATATACCTTTTTACAATACGATTTTCCATAGCAACGAATGTTGCATTTCGCCCATGCGCATGCTGCGTAGGGCAAAACGCAATAACGATGTCTACAGTCTATCATACTCAGGGTTTTCTATTTGAAAGACCCTGTAATACTTTAAGGCTTTAATAGATGCGATTTCATGTTATGTCACCCAAAAAACATTAATTTTGGGATGACTTAAGGCGGTAAGAATTGAAAACGTGAATTTATTTTTAACAGATCTACGAATATGTGCGGGACTAATAATTCAATGGTCAAAAAGGGCACACACATGTCGTTTGTTTAAGGTATCATTAGACGACTTTTTCATCAGTAATTTAAATTGAAATAGCAGGGTGTTATAGATAAAACTTTATTACCCCTGTATTACATAATATTACACAAGTTGTATTGTACACTTCCTTTGAATAACTGGATTGGTCATGCGGCAAGTGTCAAACAGATTGGCAAGCAGTTACGCATTTTAAAATGGTAATTTATTTAACTTTTAAATATACCGATCAATGTTTATGGATTTTGAGAAGGAAAAAATTGTATGACGTGCATTAAAATTATCATGTTTTACGAAGAAGCGGATAAAATGTGTGTTATATCTCTTCCAAACAACCCATCTTAACTACTCAAGATTTTGAGAAAAAAAAATATTCAAAATCTATTTATGTGACTTAATTCTTTTATGTTTGCATCAGTTTAATCATATTTTATTGCTAATATATACATGTAAATATACAGAGAACAAATTGATTTCGAAATAACAAATAGCAACAGGGTTGGGCCCAAGTTCTTACAACATTAGCGATCGGCCCTCCCCCTGAAAAATATATTAATCAACATTGATGGCATTTATATGAGAAAGTGTGACATGTATACATATAAAGCGAACAAAGGAAAAAAAAGACAGATTAACATATAAAAATAAAACAATGTAAGAAATAAGTAAGACAGAAAAAAATGTATATTTATGTATTTATATAATAACGACAAGGTTAAGGATCCAGCATTTAGCATTATTCGTCATTGGGAGTAAACGTCCATCATAAATGTGATTGTCAATTATTTGTGGTACCAGGTTATTAGGATTAATACAATCGGCCGATTTACACAAAAATATCATGTTTGTTTCGAAAACGGTCAGTAGTTTTGATAAATTTTTGGAACAGCTGCAAATATTTGTTCATTATTGTTAAACAATCTAAAAGAAATTGCTACCCCACAGTAATAGCTCAACATTAAGAGGATGAAAAATTCTGGTTTCTGCGAAGAGTATAAGTCTCTGAGGTTTAAATAATGGACAGCAAAATATATAGTGCTCGGCATCCTCACAAAGGTTCCCACATATACAAGTCGGACTTTCTCTCAAATGATTTTTAGTTTAAACAATATTTATTTCTATTGTACAACATAAATATATACAGTAAGCATATACAATCACACTGATATATTTCGTGGATTGGAAAACAAGTCAAATGTGACTTATGTAAATTCCTTTCCACACATAATGTACTTGCAATAAAAAAATATGCACATATTTGGTTAGAATAATACAGAAAAGGGAAATCAGAAAAATAGTTTAAAAGAATAGATTTGTTAGAACATTATTATCTAGAGTAGTAGAATAAAAAAACTTCTGTTTCAAGATTATTTCATAATATTGGGAGATTACTCCAAACAATTTCTTAAACAAAGTAAAATATTGTTTTTAAACTAGTAGATCTATTCAAATTAAGTTAAAAAAATTTTCAAATGAATTTTGTTTAGAAATGTTCCGAAAGAAAAAAAGAGACAAAAAATATTTAAATAAAGTTTTGAATTAAGATAAAGAAATAGAAGAATATATGTCTGGCACACAATATTATCGGGAAGTGATGGACAGAAAAAAGATGATATTAGTTAGTAAACGTTTGGAAGCTAGGATAAACTGTTTTGAACTTTAAGAAATGATTTTTTCGTTCGTGTTAAAACTCAGGGCGCTCGTCTCCGTACAAAAGATTGTTAATTGTCAGGGGACATGGAAGGGACGTAAGTACAATGCTTCTGATGAATAATCATAACGAGGGCATGAAAAAAGAAAAAGTGTGTTTTTTTATGCATGTCTGTCTCTAATTTCGCCACAAACATAATGGAGACTGGATAATAGAACTTCTTATGAGTCAAAGGTTCAGGGGAGCTAACAATCTAAACGAAGACGTGCGTGCATTATTTGGCCTATACGACTTCCTAAAACATTAAATAAAGGGAAAGGCTTTTGTTTTGTTTTTTATTAATGCTTCGTTTTAAAGGCAGCAACAGAAGAGAAATGAAATTTCTTGTATCTAAGCAGGTAGTAAGTTTCCCATTTCTTATTGCAGAAGGAAGAAAGGAATGAGCTATATATTGTGTTCTTTGAAAGTTTACTTGGTCTGAGATTCTGAGGTGGTAAGAACTCGTGTTGTGTTGGGGTACAGAATCAGAGAGATAGTTTGGAGTAATTCCATTGTACATTTTAAAGAAATAAAACTAGTTTATGTTGTTTACCGCCTTTCGGCTAGGGTATCCCAATTTGCAGGTCAGTTTAGTAATTCACATTATATTGCCATACGTTTTGTTTGCACCTTGTACTAACTTGCTGCCTCGTTTTGAATCTGCTTCAAATATCAATTTTTTAACATGTTTCGAGGAGTTTATCCCATGTAACATCGGCGTACTCAAGGATAGGGCGATAAAACGACATATACATTCTTTCCAAGCTTGAACGATTGAGGAGAAATTTAAGAGATTCATTGATGCCTACTCTCTGCCAAGCTTTTCGCAGTATTATAGATATATGAGTATCCCATTTAACATTTTCAGAAAGGGTAACACCAAGATGTGTGTGACTTTGTACACGTTTGATTGAAATTCCATTCATTTGAATTGGGGGATGGTTAACTTGTATTATTTTCCTTGAAAATATCATGGATTCTGTTTTGGACGGATTAAAGGTAACCAGCCAAGCCTTTGACCATTCATGAATTTTTTGAAGGTCGTCATTCCCTGCGGGCTCCGGCCCGCAGGGTATTGGTACGCGTTTAATTTTTGAGGCATGGAGGAGCACGTGACCTGTTTTCGGTACATGGAGGAGCATGTGATCTGTAAACCGTACATGATTGGTTAATTGACCTATTCGAAAACCTAGCTAAATACCGTTTCCCGGTACGTTACGGATTTACCTCTAGGGAATCATTGTATACACACCGGTCTCTCAAATGACCGGTGTACACAATGCTAGGGAATTAGTCCGAATTACACCTAATTAAGAACATAACACTATTACGTGATATTTCTAATTTCTATTATTATTTTTACCGTTTAAGGTGGAAAAACTTGCATGATGTGTTTGAAAATTATAATTGTGTTTCTTTAAAATCTATCTGAAATTTTACAGACAATAAATTGTTTATAGTGAAAATCCACAGAATTAAAACATTCGTTTTGTGGCATCTGCCATAATAGATAGAGATATTTTCTGCGTAAACTTGTGTGTTTACTTTATTTTATTTTATTATTTTTTTGCACGGAATTATTCATACAATGGTATTTAATCATTTTCTTAAACAGAAATATTGTTTTATTTTCGACCAAGACCAAAGACCTTCTTCTATTGATCGATTATTGTCAACTATATTCCTGATACAAACGTTATTTTTTTTTCCCCAAACCATGTTGAAAATAGTTAAATGAAATATCTTTTAAATCTTTATAAATGTTCCCCGCAGGAAACCATTTTACTTGTTTAAATGCTTGGCTGCGTCTATGGGATTCTCTACAATGATATAAAGGCTCGTGTCGTCTGCAAAAAGTCGTATGCTCGAATTTACATCGTTAACGATATCGTTTATATATAACAAGAAAAGCAGAGGTCCGAGGATCGAGCCCTGGGGTACGCCAGCATTAATTGATGACCAGTTAGAAGAACAATTAGCATATACAACGCGTTGTTTGCGATCAGAGAGATAGGAAGTGAACCAGTTAAGAAGGGAGCCGTTTATTCCAATTGAGGTAAGCTTATGTAAGAGACCTCGATGCCATACTCGGTCGAATGCTTAAGAGATATCGCAAAACACAGCGCGAACCTCCAAGCCTTCATCAAGAGCCTTGCAGATATCGTTGTATATGTATGTAATTTGATTAATGGTGGAGTCACCTTTGATGAAACCGGATTGATAAGACGTGAGGAGGTTGTTGGTAATAATATAGTTGTACAAGTATTTGTGAA